ACAAAACATTTGAATAAAACAAACAAAAAGTTTCAATAATAAGGGGAGAAATAATTTGGTATAAAATAATGAAAAATCAAATCAAAAATTGAATTCAAAGTCAAATCAAAAATTGAATTCAAATTAATGAGTGGATCGGACGGAAGCGACGGATGACGTGCTCTTCATAGCCAAGGATTTAGTGGGTTTAACGCCACCGGCTTTACTGCCACCGCCAGCGCCCGCACCGCCAGTCGATGACTTCGCCGCTCCCGTAGTCGACGCCGCTTTCGCTCCTCCGGTCGTTGAGCCGACTTTCGATCCCACTTTGGAGCCGGCCTTCGGTGAACCCGGTTTGGCCTCTTTGTCCTTCTCGTCGTCCTTTCCCTTTCCTTTCATACCTTAAACCGGGTTTTGAGATATAATTAGTTGTGTTTTCAATAAATGAATGACAAAATCAGTATTCAGTTAATGATAGCGAGACTTACAGCAGAAGAGGCAACAAATGATAACAATGATTATCACAATCACAATCACAATCACTATAATCAAAATGATAAGCATTGGCGACGATTTCTCCTCCTTTTTGGGCTCAGCGGTTGGCGATTCAGACGATGCGGGAGACGTGGCGTCGGGGTTGAGAGGGGCCACCGTTTCGCTGCTATTGCCGCTCGCATTGCTAGCGTGACCGCTGGCCAATGGACTGGGAATGGGTTTGACGGGCAGAATAGGCTTATCGAGCTTAAAAGTGGAGTTTTTGTAACAGTTGAAAAACTCGAGCGTTTCGTACTGTAAGCAAAGCATATGATCATTAAAATGAGTTCACAAACAGATTACCACCAGAAGCTCATCTGAGGGATGGCTTCAATTGCTTACCGTTCCCTTTTCGGGTATTGGATCCTTCTGTTCAAAGATATCCAACAAATACCACTTTCCCCGCTCGAGAGCGAACAAATTGCCACTTTTGGATACGAGTGCTGTATAGCCGCGCACGGCGTTCGCCGTCTGGTAGTGAGCCTCGCCTTTGCCATCGAGTTTCCAAAAGTGAATGAGTGTCTGACTGAGGCGTGAGCCGATCCACGGCAGCCTCTTAAGCATACTCTTGAGGATACCATTACTCAAGATGTCGTGATAAGTCAACACGAAGACCACCTGTTGGGTCGGGTCGTACGCGGCGCCCAAATACGAGTAGTCGGTGTCAATGGGGAAGAACTTACTGGTGCCAGAAATGGGACTCTTGGCGGGCAATCCCCACGGCATTTGACTGTCATCTTTGACGGCGACGAACGGATCTTTATGCACACCTTGATTCACAAAATCGGGATCCGCTACGACGGCCACAGTATAGGCCTGGTAGGCATACTTGGGTGGTGTCGACCCTACAGGGTTGTCCTGACCCACCAACAGAGCCTTGTAGTTGGCCGCGGTCATAAAGCTGCAGTCCTGTCCGCCCCCTTGTTTGCATTGCTGACCGAAATACAGCGCACCCGTGATGTCGGTAAATGGCTTCGATTCGGCTATGGTTTGCAACACAATGGGGTGGGCGTAGGGGTAGGGATGGGAAGGGGTTTGCCATACAATAAGAAATGTAATTGAAATTAATTATTTTAATCCAATGAATGAATTATAATTGTAATGAGTCATTACTAATGACATACGGATAAAATCGCTGGCGTTACGTCCAAAATAGTACTTCCAGTCCGGGCCTGAAGTATTGGTTTTGATAATGTAGAACAGGGTTCCGTCACCGCCCGCGAGTATGTAGTCATCCATCGTAAACACTCGCGAGATATTCTTCGCGAACTTCTCCGACACAATCGCGCAAAAGTCAAAGGAAGATCCCGGAGCCGGAGTTGACGACGCGATCTGTGGCCCACCGCCCGTTGTGCCCCCACCACCAGCACCGCCGCCACCGCCGGCCGCTGGGCTCGTCTGACCCGTCGCGCCACTCATGACCACCAAACAGATCCATAAGAACCGCGTATCGAAAGACAACATTTATTTTCTTCCTCTGAGACACTAAATGGTAAGCAAAAAGAAGACGAAGAATAGGATTAAGTCTTTTCCGTTTAGTTCACAAAACAAAGTGATTGTAATTATGACAACGAATTGATTGCATTTTTTCAAATTATTGATTACATTATTACTTCATTCACGCGATTATAACAATTATAATTACATTTATGCTTTTGTTTTGTTGTTAGCGTTAGTCTGCGAACACTGTTTACGGCTTGTATTCATTGTTGCCTTACTATAGCGCTGTTTGTGCCTCAGATTAGGTTAGCATCACATTATCTGATCCATGTCTACACTATTCACAATTTGTCGCTAAATATCAACACATGTTTAGTAAACAAATTAATTTTTATTTTTATAAAATAATACTTTACGTTAAGTAACAGTTAGATAATTAAAGAGTTTATTATTTAAATTCATTGACTAAAGACTAGAAAAATAATTACTTTTCAAAATGTAATACGAGTACAGAATCTAACACTAAAACAGCAAAACATATCTCAAGAGGCAAACAATGGTTTGATGTCATTATTATAGTATTCTTGTAATGCCTTTCGTTTCAATTTGAACGAAGAGGTGACCAAACCGTTGTCTGGAAGCCATTCTTCGGCGCATAATTTGATTTTTGTTGGAATTTGTACTTTAGTTAAACCGGAGTTCACGCAAAACTCCTTCAACTCGACCAAAACCTTTCCAATGATTTCCAAATCATCGCAAAGTTGTTTGATATCCATCTGCGAAGACTTTGACACACTTCGAGCCAACGCTTCCAAATGGTTACGATTGGGAACTATCAGCGCGTTTAAGCCATCGTTGAGTGAATTGCCGTAAACGCAAACATTGGCCACAATTGGCATTAATTTCAGTTTTTCCTCAACCTATCCATTAAATAGTGAATAAAAAATATTAAAAAATGAAACAATTACAAGGAAAATATTTTCATAAAAACAAACACTAATTAATTGTATAATTACTTGAGATAATGAGACGTATTCTCCATGAGATAACTTAATGATATCCTTAATCCTGTCGACGATGCGGATCGTGCCGTTGGCATACAGTTCGCCGATATCACCCGTGCGGAACCACTTCACCTCGTCGTCCACTTTAAAGTACTGTTCGGTTAGTTCGGGATCTTTGAAGTAGCCGTTGGTCACACACCCGCCGCCAATCAGCAACTCTCCTCTCGCCACTGGACTCTCGCCCACAGTATCACTGACTTCAGTCCAATCGACTAAATCTATTTTGATGAGCGCCCCGTCCATCGGTGGTCCCACTCGGCCCACACTCTCGTCATCCAATGTCATGATAGTGGCCGCTGCGGTCGTCTCAGTCAAGCCGTAGCCTAAATTCAGATACAAATTGCAATTAAAATGTTAAACATATGAATATAATGGCAAATATGACTTCACAAACCCTGTAATACTTTAACGTTAAATAAGTTACATATAAATCGATGAGTTTCTGGTCTGAGAGGCGCACCGCCGCTGGCTATGAACCGAAGCCGACCGCCCATAAGGGCTGCGAATTTACGGCAAACAAAGTGATTGATTAACGGAGTGTTCAATCCGTTTGCGGCGCAGAAACTCTTGTATTTGAGTATAGCGTTGATTACGAGTCGCAATATTAGCGGTCGTTTGTCGACCTCATCGGTGATCGCTTTCATAATGCGGTCCAAAATGAGGGGAACCGCTGCCATCACTGTCGGCCGCAGTAGAGTTAAGTCTCCTTTCATTCCCTTCTGAAGGCCCAGCGATCGGTCGGTGAGTGTGTGAACAGAGCAGTAGCCGACGGGCACTCCGACCGACAGAAACGAGATTTCGGCGCATATTTCCAGACAATGGGCTAACGGAAGGAAAGCGGCGTAAATGTCTTCGCCGGGTGTGAGGGCGTCGGCGAAGGCGTAAAAAGCGCGGACAGCGAACAACAGGTTCTTATGCGATATCATCACACCTTTGGGAACACCCGTCGAGCCGGACGTATACATGAGTAGCGCTGTCTCGTCGCCGCCGATCGACTCGTCAGTGGCCACCGATTCAGCCGATTGTTCAGTCAATTCTTTGCCCATTTGTTCAATGCGTTGAAATGAGTGAAATTCAATCGATTCTCTTTGAGTATCGGTAAACAGACCGCTGACCACTTCTAGCGGATCAGTTATCCCTGAGTTCATGTGTATTATGTGTTTAATTGTCGGCATTTTGTCCACAATTGGCGCCAATTTGGTCAAAAACTCGTCGCTCGTAACCAAATGAGTGGCTTCTGTTTGATTGACGACATGAAGGACGCCGTCGTCGCCGAGATTGGTGTAAACGGTGGCCACGACTGCACCCAAACGCCATACCGCCTGACACGTGACCATCCATTCCAGTCTCGTGTCGGCGTATATGCAGACAACGTCCCGACGCTTGACGCCAATGGCCCGCAGACCGGCGGCCACACCAGCGATACGACTGTTCACCTCTTCATACGTGAGCCACTGGTAATCGTTTAATGTAAACTTGCGTAACACGTGTCCGTCCGGTTGTATGGCGTGGTCTTCGGCCAAAAGAGGTCGATAACCAAAGCATCGGTTCCGCGAATACTGGCCGACAATACGGGCGAAGAGTTGCGCCATATTTGCCGATCGGTCGACAATCTGTCGGCGTTTGTCTTCGGCCGAGCGGTGATGGTTGACGTTAACCCACGCGCCGGATGGTAGGCTCGGATCCAGTGGACGCCCTCTCATCGGTTCCGACTTCTTGGGCGCCGCATATGTTCGCCACAAACAGATCACAAGTGGGCCGACAATAGAGCCGACGATCGCATAGATTATAAGGTTTGCCACTATTTTGATGATTAAGACAAACATTGCGTTCAATTCAGTGTTAATTACGATAACAATAGATGTCTTAAACACGTGTCTTAATGGCCACAAAACGGGATCAATTGGTCCGATCACTGGTCACGTGATTACCGCGTGTAGTGTTGAGTCAATACATGTCATATGAATTGGAAATAGTGTTGAGATTTGATGTGATTTGCGATGAATTTAGTGCTTTGTTTGACATTAAATTGAATGACATTTACATTGCATGAGATGTATAGCGAAAACGCCGGTTGTTTTCAGTCAAACACAAACACATTATGAAATGCATGTCTCAATCAGTGTCTGTAATAATCGCCACTTTTTGCTGTAAGCGCTGTCTATGCACTGCCTGTGCGCACACATACAGTACACTCAATTTGGATAGTATCTAAGCACTGTAGAAGCTACGAGCAAAATAATGTAAGGTTTTACACTCGTAAAAATAAAAGTATATCAAAATTAGTTACTAAATCACATTTATTTTGTATGTTTTAGAAAAGTATAATTGACTTTAGGTCATTTTAAAAAGTGACTAAACAATATAAAAATTTTTATGAATAATGCACTATTAATACTGGGATTACCAATTACTCAATACAAACACTTGCTTAACTACATAACAATATGACGGTACAGTACAGGCACTTCACAATACATGTGTATTTCACAACGTTTATGTGCACTTTCCCTATGCTTTGCATTGAAAATACAGTATTTGGTATGACTTGCGCCACATATGAGCCTATCTTTGCATTTAGTTTTTTGTAAACTTTTTAAAGTACTTTACAGTGCAATTTGATATTGGTTAAAAAAGTTTTTAATTTATTTAATAAACACTTAATTGTGTGAAAATTTGATTTGTAATATCAATGTCCATAAGCCATGGTATGGATGGATGGGTTGGCGCACACAATAGGCCCTACTGTCCAACGCGTGGTTATCACACAATCAGTTCATTGAATATACTTTACCAGTGGTTTCAAAGTGCAAAACCAAAGCGACGATTAGTTTTTTTTAAAACTTTTTAATCACAGATAATCTGTTTATATTAAATGCAATTTCAATAACCTTTTCACTGCATATTTGATATCATAAGACATTATGTGTGAAAAATAAGTTCATATAAAAAATTTCAATAAACGATAAGAAAGTAATTGACTTCTAATACTGATCTTAATATTAGGAAAATTACAATTAATTTTTTACAATTGGTGTTCATTGTTATCAATTGAAACAATATATCACAATTTATTAAGTTTTATTTACTACTGAAAATACTATTTCAAATCATATCTCACTAATACACTTATAAGTGCCCCACATATCAAACCAGATATTTAAAAACTAATTAATTATAAAATTTTTCCCATTTATTCAGACTGTCTGAAGAGATTTATACACATTTAAAAGTATGATAACTATAGAAATCAGACATAATAAGGTATAAATCATTTTTATTTCGATAACACCACTCGTTGATTATAATTATAACTATATTTACAATCAAATTAAATCATAACCTATTATAACACATAATTAAATGAGAATCGGAGGCAAATTCAAAATCAAATTCATTTGAATTACACGTGAATTACGACCAAAAAGTAAAAACATATGAATTAAAACTGAATTAACTATAAATGTCATAAAAATCACAACCAATTTGTATCATTCATCCATTAGTTGACTCCACATTAATCCTACGGCTATAGTTAAGCTGCTGTCGGGCCCTCCACTCGGGCTTCACCGCAGACCTCTTGAGCGCGCCGTCAATCTCCAGATCGACGAGACCTCCTTTGGCGGCGATCACAGCCTTCACCCGCTGTGCGAAGTCGATGGACGACTCGTCGGGCTGTCTGGTCATCGGCGGCAGATACCAGACGTCGCACACGATGGCCCACGAGGTCATCATCATTAACAGGTACTTCATGTAACCGTATTTACTCGAGTTCCAGAAGGGGTCGCCAAAGCGGGCGTCGTATTTGATGGCCGCCGGGTATATCGTGCCGCCGACCTCGAAGCCGCCCTTCTTGAACATCATCACCGATGTGTTGTTAATACACGTGCCCTCCGGGAAGATCAGTATTGGCAGCTTATCGGGATGGGCCACGTGCTCGGCCAGGCGTCGAGACACCTCTGTTGGGTTAGCAAAAACACACCATGGTTAGTTATAATCTCACTGTCTCGCCCATTGTCTCCACACACTCACCGGCTCTGTCGCTCATCTCCGACCTGTCGAACCACATGTGATGAGTAGCTCTGGCCAGCGCTCGCTGAAGGACGCCGAGAAAGCCGCCGTGCGATTGGCCGACGAGAGCGTAGGCGTTGTCGCAGTGAAGAATGACCACATCGATGGGACTCGTGTGGTTGGCCACACAGAGGCCGCCCGGTTTGGCCCGATTCTCGGTGTTGTGGAAAGTGATGAGTCCGGAGAAACCGCGCGACAAAATCCTAAAACACATGACACTCACGAAGTGGTAGAGAAAGCGTTTGAGCCGTCCGTCGGGCACCACTGCCACCGCACCCGTGCACAGCACGAGCCAACCCACGCCTATCAACGTAATGGCAAAACGGATGGGAAACAGGAGTAGATAGCGGAAGAGGAAGCCGTTCCACCAAATGATGGCCAAACGTAATGAGTTGTAGTGATAAAACTTGTCGGTTCGGGTCAACAGATTCCACGTCTTGAGCTCTTCGGCGGCGAACCGTTTGGTCACTTCGTCGTCGACGATGGCAGTGATGCCCAGCCGTACGAATTCAGTGATGTCCGCCACGTGGAACTCCTTCTTCTCCTGATTGATACTCAAACTCATAGTGCGATGGCGTCTGTGTTCAAACACATCGCCGTTTTTGCCACCATTTGCTGTCAATAATTCAATCAACAAGTTTTGGTCATTGCCACGTGGAACTCCTTCTTCTCCTGATTGATACTCAAACTCATAGTGCGATGGCGTCTGTGTTCAAACACATCGCCGTTTTTGCCACCATTTGCTGTCAATAATTCAATCAACAAGTTTTGGTCATTACTTTTCTCGTTAGTTTTTAATTAGCATTAATTTAATTTAATCGTTAATTTGATTATAATTATCATAATATACAGTAAAACAGTGAATCTATTGTAAGTTTAAATACTGATGTGATGTGTAATATACGGGTATATAAAACAATACCTGATTTATGGGCGAAAGTGTCGAAGACATCTTCGGCCTCGTCGTCGTCGGTGTCCACAAACGCTTCTTCTCTAATTCGGCTCAATTTCCTCTGCCTTTCCTTAATCTTGTGCTCAACAATAACCACTCGTTTGCGGCCGTATTCAAAGAGTTTCATCAATTTCTCGATGTATTTCCTATGGATCCAGAAGTCGTGTCCGACTGACGCCAATCCCAACCATACAATTAGCGTCAAAACAAAAGCAGTTATAAAAAACATTATTTCTTCTTTCGATTCAATAGTTTTTTGTGTGGTTTTTATTAATATAATGATTAGACTCTGTTATGACACTACAAAGTGTTGATAACTTTTTTGTTCACTTATTTCTATTACGAAATCACGTTTAGTTGTGTAATAATCGGTGTATTAAGTAAATAGTGTTGTTGTGTTCACATCAAAATGATCACTTTCATTTTTAAACAGTTAACCACACATTACCGGTCCATTTGGTTGTAAAGTTCGTACATTTAATATAATT